AAGGATAAGGATAAGGATAAGGAGAAAGAGAAAGAGGCAGAGAAGCCAAAGAAGAGGAATAGGTGGGATATGTCGCAGGATGAGAGTGGTGGTGTGAAGAAAGCGAAGGTAGGGTCAGATTGGGACTTGCCTGACTCTACCCCAGGAATTGGGAGGTGGGATGCAACTCCAACGCCTGGTAGGATTGGAGATGCAACACCCTCGATTTCAAGAAAAAATAGGTGGGATGAGACCCCTACTCCAGGACGATTGAATGATTCAGATGCAACCCCAGCTGCTGGTGGAGCTACTCCAGGAGCAACCCCTGCAGGAATGACTTGGGATGCCACACCGAAGCTGGCGGGTTTAGCAACTCCAACACCCAAAAGGCAGAGGTCGAGGTGGGATGAGACTCCAGCTACTGTGGGCAGTGCGACACCAATGGGAGGTGCTACCCCTGCTGCTGCCTATACCCCAGGCGTTACTCCCGTTGGCGCTATGGATATTGCTACTCCAACCCCGAATGCTATTATGCGTAATGCTGCAATGACTCCTGAGCAGTACAATTTGATGAGGTGGGAGAAGGATATCGAGGAAAGAAATAGGCCATTGACTGATGAGGAGCTTGATGCAATGTTTCCACAGGAGGGGTATAAGATTTTGGAACCCCCTCCTTCATATGTTCCTATCAGAACACCTGCCAGGAAGCTTCTTGCTACACCGACACCGATGTCAACTCCACTGTATTCTATTCCAGAAGAAAATCGGGGTCAGCAATTTGATGTGCCAAAAGAGTTGCCTGGTGGTTTGCCATTTATGAAACCTGAGGATTATCAATACTTTGGTTCACTTCTGAATGAAGAGGACGAAGAGGAGTTGTCTCCTGAGGAGCAAAAAGAGCGGAAGATCATGAAGCTCTTGCTAAAGGTTAAAAATGGTACGCCTCCACAGAGGAAAACTGCTTTGAGACAGCTCACGGATAAGGCAAGAGAATTTGGTGCTGGTCCGCTCTTCAACCGTATTCTGCCACTGCTTATGCAGCCCACACTGGAAGACCAGGAGAGACACTTGTTGGTGAAAGTTATTGACAGGGTGCTCTATAAGTTAGATGAGTTGGTTCGGCCTTATGTACACAAAATTTTGGTGGTTATAGAGCCTCTGTTGATTGATGAAGATTATTATGCTCGTGTGGAAGGTAGAGAAATTATCTCCAATCTCAGCAAGGCAGCTGGTTTGGCCACTATGATTGCTGCAATGCGTCCAGACATTGATAACATTGATGAGTATGTGAGAAACACCACTGCTAGAGCTTTTAGTGTTGTTGCCTCTGCACTTGGTATTCCTGCATTGCTTCCATTCTTGAAAGCTGTTTGTCAAAGCAAAAAATCTTGGCAAGCTCGTCACACAGGTATCAAGATTGTGCAGCAGATTGCAATATTAATTGGATGTGCTGTTCTTCCACACTTGAGGTCATTGGTTGAGATTATTGAACATGGTCTTAATGATGAAAATCAAAAGGTCAGAACAATCACAGCGCTGTCATTGGCTGCCCTTGCTGAGGCATCTGCCCCATATGGCATTGAAAGCTTTGACTCAGTATTGAAACCTCTGTGGAAGGGTATAAGGTCACACCGTGGGAAAGTTTTGGCAGCCTTCCTGAAGGCTATTGGATTTATCATACCACTTATGGATGCCATATATGCCAGCTACTATACCAAGGAAGTTATGATTATTCTGATTCGCGAGTTCCAGTCACCAGATGAAGAAATGAAGAAAATTGTGCTGAAAGTGGTAAAGCAGTGTGTGAGTACAGAAGGTGTGGAGGCAGATTATATCCGAAATGACATTCTTCCAGAGTTCTTCCGTAATTTCTGGGTGAGGAGGATGGCTTTGGATAGGAGAAATTACAGGCAGCTTGTTGAGACTACAGTGGAGATAGCAAACAAAGTTGGTGTTGCTGATATTGTAGGAAGAATCGTGGAAGACTTAAAAGATGAAAGTGAGCCATATAGGAGGATGGTCATGGAGACAATTGAGAAAGTGGTTGCAAACTTGGGGGCATCTGATATTGATGCTCGCTTGGAAGAGCTACTAATAGATGGAATTCTCTATGCATTCCAAGAGCAGACAAGTGATGATGCTAATGTTATGCTAAATGGGTTTGGTGCAGTTGTGAATTCCCTTGGACAGAGAGTGAAGCCATACCTTCCCCAGATATGTGGTACCATAAAATGGCGGCTCAACAATAAGAGTGCAAAAGTGAGGCAGCAAGCCGCAGATCTAATATCTAGAATTGCTGTGGTTATGAGACAATGTGGAGAAGAACAGTTGATGGGCCATCTTGGTGTTGTATTGTATGAGTATTTGGGAGAGGAGTATCCTGAAGTTCTGGGCTCAATATTGGGTGCTCTCAAAGCCATAGTCAATGTTATTGGTATGACCAAAATGACTCCTCCAATCAAGGATTTGCTTCCTCGGCTGACTCCAATTTTGAAGAATCGCCATGAGAAAGTCCAGGAGAATTGTATCGATCTTGTTGGAAGAATTGCTGACCGTGGGGCTGAGTTTGTACCTGCAAGGGAGTGGATGAGAATATGTTTCGAGCTTCTTGAGATGCTTAAAGCACATAAAAAGGGTATTCGTAGAGCAACTGTGAATACTTTTGGTTATATCGCAAAAGCTATTGGACCACAAGACGTCCTTGCAACTTTGTTAAATAACCTCAAGGTGCAGGAACGGCAGAACCGTGTGTGCACGACTGTGGCTATTGCAATAGTTGCCGAAACCTGTTCGCCTTTTACAGTTTTGCCTGCATTGATGAATGAGTACCGGGTGCCAGAGCTTAATGTTCAGAATGGTGTTCTGAAGTCGCTCTCCTTCCTGTTCGAGTACATAGGCGAGATGGGGAAAGACTACATATATGCTGTGACTCCATTACTCGAGGATGCTCTCATGGACCGTGATTTGGTTCACAGGCAAACTGCAGCTTCAGCAGTCAAGCATATGGCCTTGGGAGTTGCTGGTCTAGGATGTGAAGATGCTTTGGTCCACCTGCTGAACTATGTCTGGCC